CTCTCACAAAACACCATTTTCCTTCAGTCACTCTCTGGCTGTGCAGTCCTGCAGGGCCGGCCAACTGTAGTCTTTCTTATTGTTGAATTCACTGAGTCAGTCAGTCTCTGTGTGGCTGTTTGTCTCTGTGGTGTTCACAGTCACACACAATTCAGACTCTCTTTTCTGAATGAGCCGGAGTAATCTGATAATTCACATGAACGTGAGTGCTTCAGGATTAAACTGTGCTGCATGTTAATGACCTGAACACACAAACTGGGGGACACTGTGAAATTTAGACTCTATAATTGAATGTAAAAGTTGGATACAATTACTGAATTAAATCTGTGCTGAATTCTCAATATTATGTAGTTTTGGGGAGGTTTAATGTTTTAAATTTGCTGTGCTGGAGAGAAATAAGGCGGTTTTAATTCAGTAATGAGATTTTCAATTTTAATCTTAACATGATGATGTTTTTGTTGTTTTCGTGGGGTGGCGAACAGAGCAGAAAGTTAACTGGGGCGACAGCAGACCTTTAACAAACCAGAAAAAAAACATCACAGAGGGACAATCAAAGAGTTCACGCTGTCTTCTTTCACGTCTACTAAAAAGTGATTAATTATGTCAGATATTCAGACTCTTACTAATTTGTCTTCACTATATGCAAAATTACTGATACATTGATTTGAGCACACTTGGGTATCAGACCAGGCGTGAAAACATGTTGACAAAAGTATTTTAGTGGTAGGGACACTGCATTATTCATTTGATTTGAAAATGATGATAATTTGTGATAATTAAACTTGTGTGTGATCATTCTTGTCGGAGACGCTGGTAATCCCTTCCTCAGTAAAACTTTTCATGGTAGTTATTGGTTTGTAAGCACCTTTTATGGTAAGTGCTGTTTATTGACAGATCTGCTGTCAGTCAAAGCACATCCAGTGTGTGTATATGTCTGTCCATGGATTATTATTGATGACAAAAATGAATTAATCTGTTCCTCTTCTGTTTCAAGTAAAACAGAATGGAGCTGTATTTTCCAAATGGGGAAATTCATTTGGTCAGAGGTGCATCAAGGGGCCATTATAGAGCGTAACATAAAAAACAAAACATACATATAGTAAAATAAATACACTCCATAAAAGGGACCCTACCGAGGAAACCCATATGTCTGTCTCCCATGGTTACTAAACACACATGCTCCCTAAAAAAAATGCACAGACAAAGCACAGACAAACACACACACACAATTTCACCTACACCTCACGCATAAAGCCTCCTACAGACTGTAAGTTTTTAGCAATATTATAACTTTATTGTAAGCTACACTGTGACACGGATCTAATAAACTTTGATGTATACAGACTGTACGATGACAGCACCTACTGAATCGCAGACTGTGATGTACAATGCAATAACTTCCCGCAAGGATGCTGCACAGGTTAATACTTCTCCAACTGTGAAGCACAGCATAGAGGGTTACATCAATTAACAACCTGAAGTTTTGTGGGCACTTTATACTGCAGTGTGGCTGTGTTTGCCAGCTGCTGGGTTGCTCACCTGACAGCTGCAGCTCCTCTGCTATTTCCTTCCATGCTTTGTCCTCCTTTAAGAGCTGGAGGACACATCATACAGGCAAGGCTTCTGCTGCCACAACTCAACATTTATTTAACCCGAGTTTCCTTCAGGGCGAGCTGCTATCTGTCTGTTTGTTTGGGTTTAGCATCAGTGCATCATTTCATGCTGCATTTCCATTGGTTGGTTAGTAGATGTAGGTTGTGACAGCATTCACACTGTGAGGTGGTCATCCCAAGTTTCTGACACTGTCAGAGTTTTATCCCAGGCTGTCTTTGATCGCAAGACTGTGACAATGGCCATCCTCGAACCTCTCTCACGGTGCTATGTAGGACCACTGTCCATTTTCATTAACGCTGATCATCTTTCGTCTGGGACAGCCAAAAATCGCACAGTGTATACTGTGCTTAAGACCATTTGTGATAGGGGAGAAGAAATTAAGAAAATATAAAAATGTAGTTAAGAAGTTTTGTTTTCATTTGCATTTGCTTATGCACTTTTTAACAGTTTCACTATAATAGAAAATAAATTTGACTTAGTTTAATCAGATAAAAGAAATGATACTAACACATAACAGTTAACTATTAGTGCAGAATAATTACTACTGAATATCATTATAAGATCCGCCAGTGCGCAATGATGCAGAAATATAAGCATGATAGGTACAGTGTGTAAAATTTCTGGGGATATATTGGCAAAAAGAGAATATAATATAATAAGTATGTTTTCATTTGTGTATAATCACCTGAAACTAAGAATTGTTGTGTTTTTGTTACTTTAGAATGAGCCCTTTATATCGACATACAAAGTGGGTCCTCTTCCACAAAGTCTGCCATGTTGTTTCTACAGTAGTCCAGAAGGGACAAATCAAACACTGGCTCTAAATTGTCTCGTTTCATTTCAAGTTCGCCACAGTAGTTCATGTACATGCTTGGCACATGCGAGAAGTTTCAGTTGGTTGCACTCTACAGCCTCACCACTAGATGTCAGTAAGTCCCCCACACCAGAACTTTAATGGCAAAAGTTACACTGAGGGAATTTATAACCTAATTAAAAAAAAAAATGAAACAGCACAAATGCATTTCTTCAGAATCCATTAACCATTAATCATGCTTACATGGTTTACAGCAGAGCTGCTATGTTTATCTATCTTAATGTACAAATATTCTCAAGCACAAGAAGAAACTGATAAATTGGCTTCTGAGCGTTGAAATGAGCATACACATGGTTTGAGCACAGTACTGTGCATACGCATGGCTGATTAATTAGACCTCATTTATCAATCAAGGGTTGATACTATAAATGAATGGAAGAAAAATCACTTCCTGTTTGTCCTGAGGAAATTCTTTTTACCAGAAAATATTCACTAACTGAAGCAAGGAATGTTCATGCCTTGCATTGATTTAAGTTTACTCACCAAAAGGTTGATCTGCAAGTAATATCTGCAAGAACTCGGTCCCAGATTATAGTGGAGTCATGGAACCAGTAGTCTTGTTGTGATGGAGACATGAGTGGACAGGCTGGGTCTCTTGCTGATGACATGTGCTGTCACTGCACTGATGACCAAGCAAACCGTCTCGCCTTTCACAGCATCATGTCAGTCAGCTGCACAGCAGGCATACAGTCTGTACAGTACTATGACTCCATACAATAGCAGTGCATAAATCTTTGTAGCTCAGGATGAAGCCACATGTAAAATATGTGTCCAGCCTACGATTTGTGAGAACTGTTATAGATTCATAGGTTTTCAGTTAGGTGGTGCTCTCATGTTATGCACACAATAATATTATACTGCTTCATATGCATTACATTCTTATTTATTCCAATTATTTACAGGAGAATGATTAGCCATTTCTTTGTTGCTGTCCTTGTTTGTTTGAGCTCTATTCATCTCATGGAGACAAAATCAAAGGACAAATTTCAAAAGAATCTCTGAATGCAACCTTGAGCATCATCTTCTGAAGTCAATCCCATTGGCCCATTCTCAATACCAGATCATCAAATACAGATGCTTTGTCACGCCCTCCGGCACACTTTAGGGTCTTAAGTGTCAACCCATCTGCCATAATACTTGACGCTTAGAGTAGCTGATGTAGTATAAAGAACGAGAAAATCCGTGTAGGTGGATGGGTCAAACAAAACAGGACTTTCACCCAGGAGACTGCAGGTTGTGTCTCCTTTAAAACCACAAGTCAGTGTTGCTTATATTTAATGATATGTAATTCATGTACAGTCATCACACACTGACATCAGTTGGGACGTATTTACGTCAAATTATGTTTTTATTACGTATCAAAGGTACATGATGCGACATGATGTTTTCTCAAAACCTAACCAAGTAGTTCTGTTACGTTAACCACGACTGTTTCACGACATTAATTACATGTTACAGTGTGTTTAAGCTGTGTGTCATAAACAGACACATATTTAACGACCTGGTAATGAAACAGGTTGGTCACATACATCAGGCTCATTGTTAACATACTGTAAGCTGAACTGGTGATCAGATGTTCGGTCACAGCTTTCATGCTGTGGCCTGAAAATCAGAGTTCCTCTCTTGGGAGTCCTGCCTTTAACCTTCTGCTCATTTTCTACAGGCCATCAGGAGAAAGCATTTTGCCTGCACTGTATGACATTGGCTTCATCTCATCCTGCACAATTTATGACTGCAATATTATTACCTGGAGATCAAATTTCCAATATACAATACAGACAAGAGAGCAGTGCTGCAGAGCCATAACAGGTGCAGAGGAAAGTCATCTTGAACTTGAAAGCTGTTAGTTGAATAGGTTCTGACAGTGTTGCAATTGGTGTCGTTAAAATGCGGAAATTTACGTTTCCCTGGCATTCATGGTACATTTCAACACAAGCTGCTGTCCTGTACGAGTCATAAATTCTGTAATCATGATTTTTGGGCATATTTGCTACCAGTGAGGCATATCTCAACCCAATCGCCAGAATAAATGTTGGCATTGTTTTTGCAAATATGTCACATTGCATGTTATTATGTAGTGGATAGGTTGAAAATGTACCTTTTTACAAGGGTGTGGTTAACAGCTTGGTAGGCATTTTGCCTTGGTGACACGCCATCCACCATCTATTTAATCACAGAAATGTACAGTGCCAACATATTTTTGGCAACTGGGCTGAATATGTACTCTACAGAAACTTACTACATCCACTCATTTACTACTCATGTACTCATCCCTCTCTGTTGTTAATCCTACTGATACAACTGTATCAAGGTGCTGTGTATGAGCGGGGAGTATTTCTGGTGCCATTCAGCAAATGGAAGTCTGTTAAATTGTTGATGATACAGAGATCCACACACTTGTCCCCTGGATACATTTATGGAAAGTAGGACAGTGGTGGGCCCAGGCGTGTCTCCATCACTTAAACCTAAGTCTCCCTCTAATCTCCACCTTCTCTCTCTGTCTTTCTCACAGGCCAGCCCTGCCCCGATAATCGTCAACACAGACACTTTGGAGTCAGTTCCTTATGTGAGTTTGAATTATTTTGTCTTTTTTTTTATGCATGTATTAGTTGTTAGACGATCAATACATCCAGCAGATCAAAGAGTAGCAGCACATTAAAATAATGAACCCACATTTTCCTCTCTGCTCTGCTGCTGAGTTTGAGTTGAGATAGTATATGTGGCGTATTAGTACATTTTGATCTTGTAACATCTTCATAACAAATTAGGGTGCGGTACTGAATTATTGATGTTTGTCATGAATAAATGACACAAGACTTTCTTAAGACCTTCACCTCCACCACTTTTCACAGTATTTTACATCAAAACACCTAAATGCTGCAGCGCAGCACAGAAGCTGAATAAATAACAAATGGGGCTCCAGGAGGTTGTGTATTTTTCATGATCAAATTGTCACATTTGGCAGTTATGTTAACAGTTAATGATTTGTGAAGAAATGAGGACAGGAGCTTCTGCCTCAGTGAGGGACTGTTTTTTTGTACAAGTTGTTTTCCCCCTGTCAGACAACATTACATTGAGGAACTTTGTTCATGTGAGTGGAGATCATATAGTAACATTGAATAATCTCTGCATCTTTTAGTGCTGTTGCTAATTTAGTCTTCAGCTCTTGCTTGCTTCTACAGTCATATTAAGGTCTGATAATAACATCTGATGCTGCTCAAAAATGTTTCCCAACTGGGGTATGATATGCAGCGTCTCATATGCTCGTGTGCCATTCCTGTATGAATGCATAATGACGGAAGAGCTCGCTGCTAATTAATCATCTCAGTCAAACACAGGATGAGACCGACTCCTCTGTAGCTAACCTCCATGCTGCAGAAATAGCAAATGTTTTTTAACCATCACTTTAAATTGTTTCCCCTGAGGTGTCGTCTGTTTAGCATAGAAAGCACCAGTGGCCCTGAAAAATACCTGTCAGCCCCTGCTCAATTTAAGTATGTAGAGTTGGCCTCCTAAGCAAGTGCTTAACATTATCCTCCATGAATATGCTTAAATATAATTATTTAGCATCACTGGTGTGGATTTTCATTTTAAAGCTGTGTTGGTAACGTTTGACATCTTGGCTCAATCTGTTTTCTGTTTCCTCAGGTCAACGGCACAGAAATTGAATATGAGTTTGAGGAAATCACTCTTGAGCGGGTGAGTATCTCGCCTCCCCCACAGCTGTGTTTAACCTCACAAACAATCTATGACAACATGCCTCGGCACTGTGGTACATTCATTTATTTATTTGGATCCCCATTAGCCACTGCTAAGGTAGCTACCACTCTTCCTGGGGTCCACACAAGTAAACATCACATCATAGTGTACAAGAAGTATGTCATTAAAAATTCAAGGCAAAAAGGAACAAAAAAACAAAGATATAGCCATAAGGGGCAACTATGGAGTTCAAGTCATTGTAGACATTTAAAACTTGAGCTGGGTAGGATCAAGACTTTGATGATTTACGACACTGATGCATGTTCACATCTCTACCAGGCCATGCTTTTTTTGGCAACACTGTCACTTCCTGTTGGTCAATTACAGGAACATTTTGGAGACATGCTTCAGTCACTTAGTTGAAAACATCCAGTGAGTTTGGTGATGTTACAACAAAGTGTCATTGATTTATGGCCAATTTTGCGAAGAACTGGTGGTACCCCATATTGACTGATATTATTTCAAAATGATTGTAGTCTGTTTGTGTAGTGATGTAGTTCAACTTTATTTTTTAGCATATCCTGCAAGTTTTGTGATGATTGGACAAACAATTTCTGATTTATAGTCTGATTTGTGTTATGCCACATCCATTTTTTGCATTTGTGGTGCTCCCTTGTGGTAGATACAAACGAAACTTTGAGGTTATGTTACTGGTTCTTACATAGACATTTCCTGCAAGTTACGTGATGACTGGCTGAACGGTTATGGTCTGTGTATGTGCTGAGCCACGCCCCCTTTGAAGTTCATTGATTAATGTCTTCATAACGCAATGAGATATCAACAAATTTTTGGTAACTTCATAAGCTTGGTCCAATGATGATCCACAAAAAATGTGGTACAAATTGGACCTAGAGTGTAATAATAACAATAATAATAATGATACCTTTATGTATAAAGCACAAAACAAAACAAGTTACTAAGTGCTTTACATATACATTTAAAAGACAATAAACACATAGTTAATAAAATAATGAATAAAGCAGATGATAATAAAACAACAGTAAAGTCAATAAAAAGCAAGTCTAAAATAATCAGGGCCGAATTCACAAAGAATGAACTGCGGCCGCTGATAGCACCTTGAATTGCACTTCACTTGCACCCACAGTTTGCTCCGTCTTAACGTCCTATTGACAAAGGATATTGTGCTAATGATATACCAGTGCAAACATGCCCACAAAGTTTGGCAGCTGAGTGCAGTTTGCTCCTGATTTGCCCCTGATTGCAATAAGACACACATGGCAAAGTATAAATGCTGGCTTTGCACCAAGAACACCGTGGCAGAACAATGGCAGACTTTGTTTGGCAAAGTACTGAATACTGTATACCCTCATGTAGTGATGTCTGCTGGTGAGTCAGTCTAACAGTGTCGGATGGGTTGAGGCTGTGGATTTGACCAAGTTTGACCACTTTATCACTATTCCCTCTCACTTGTAGCTGTTTTTTCGTTATCTTTTGAATTTAATATGAATTATGGAACCGTTTTTGTTCACATTTGTTTCCCCCGTTTCGTAAAATAAATTATTGAAAGTTGCTTTTGAAGTGCGTGACAGAAGTGTGTTTTGAGAACGACCGCAGACTGTCACCTGTTCAACGCATCAGTATCTTCAGATGCCATTAAAGTAATAATGATTATAATAATAATGTCAAAATATTATTCACAGACTGATTTATCAGACGATCACTGCTGCCACGATCACTGGAAAGTCTGGGCGAGAGGCTTCCACAGAGGAGCGCCCAGTTTGCACCAGCTTTCTAAAGACGTTATTTACTTCACTCAAACTGCGTGTGGCTATTAGCGCTGGTGTTAGTGAATTAGAAGTTGTTTATCAATGAGGCTCATTTGCATAGAAAGGGGCAATTTTTGCGCCAAATATATGCATATTACCTCATTTAAATATGTTCAAATAACACCGGAGCACCGAGACACAATCTGCTTGGCAGTGCAGTTAGTGGAGCATTTCACCCTCTGCGCGTGCTTTGTGAATTAGACGGTATCTGTTTGCTCCATTTTTACTGATTTAGCGGCCGCAAAAGCCACGCAATCCTTTTGTGAATTCGGCCCTCAGTTTTTAAAAGTGACTTCAAAGAAGACAGTGTGTTAGCGTTCCTGATCTCCTCTGGCAGGTCATTCCACAACTGAGGGGTCCAAACAGTGAAGGCCCAGTCACCTTTAGTTTTAAGGTTTGATGTTTGAATGGCCAGGAATGACCTGCCAAAGAACTGCAGGTTGCATTCAGCCTTGTAGGAGGTCAGAAGGTCAGTTATATATTCTGGAGCTAATCCCCCTATGAGCCTTAAAAGTGATCATTAGAATTTTAAAATCCACTTTGAGAAGGACTGGAAGCCAATGAAGTGATTTTAAGAACAGCGTGATGTGTTTTCTCCTGTTGGACCTGGTTACGAGTCTGACTGCGGCATTTCAAATCAGCTGAAGTTTGTTGATGTTTTGTTGTGTGACACGAGAAGATTTCAATGCAGTCATCTAACTGGGATGAAGTGTAGGTGGTCAAAAATGTGTTTTTAAAAAAATCAAAATGTTAGAAAATCTAGTCTACCTTTGTGGTGTAATTGCCTTTTTTGAGACATATAAAAGCTTCAAAATTCAAGAGTGGTGTATTTACTGACGTGTTTTATGCCATAGAACAAAACATTAAAGTCTCTTAAGCTTGTGTTAACCACTGACCTTATTTCAGGCATCTAACCAAGCACTTGTTCAAAAAACCTATTGACTTCAGGGCCTGGGAACCTGGAGTGCTAAAATACTTACTCATTACCAGGTTTCAGGACTCATCCCTGGGGCACCTTATTGAGCTGGACCTGTGTGTTGAGTTTTAAGTCTGTCAGCCCTATAGTCTGAGGGGCATGGCCTTTCCAAAATTGCATTTTTGGCCCTTAATTATAGCACCCCATCTTGCCACATGGCATTATAATTGTTGAGCAGCATTTGCAAGCAGCTTCAAACCATTGGAGAAAATTTTATGTGTCTACGACACCATCTAACGGGAATTTATAGAAACTTTTTTGGGAGAAAAAACAACAACACACAAACAATAAGGGTTCAAGCCCTTCGGTAATTCATTCAGAATTTTGATGTAAAGGCAAATATGAAACAGTTTTATCCCTCAAAACACTGTAAAACAATTTGTGTACTGAAGCAAACATAGCATAAAAAGATGACAATACCGCTTACATCACTGTGTAATAACAGGCACACAGTGGAAGCAGTTTTGACAGCTTCAATACAATCAGGAGCAGAGAAGAAGCCGGACCAACAGCAAAGGTTATCGCATCAAACAGCCAACAATGAGAGCACTGTGTCTTCAGAGAGATAAGATATACAGACAGTGGTCAGCCTCCATCCATACTCCAGACCACTAAATTTATCATCAGCCATCAGATGATGGCTAAAACCATCTTGTTTAGTCTCTGAGCATAGACAGGCCTGTGTCTGGTACTCTGGAGTCGTCGCCATGGAGAGCTGAACAGTGCTTTCTGATTCAGCGTTGCAGGCAGCAAGGCCCTGCGGGGACACTCAGTGGGTTTTGTAATCAAGAGAAGTTGCTATTCCCATCAGCAAACAACTTAATCAAAGCTTGACTTTCATTTTGTGAGTGGGCATCCAGGGGATTTTATTTGCAAAGCCGACAAAGTCTTCTCTAAAAGACAAAATGTGACCCGCAGCCTTATAAATACAATATTTCACAGTAAGTCATGATAATAAAGAGCCAGGTTAAGTCAGGACAAGGCTGTGATCTGCACTCACGGCGGGATGCCAGAGTCATTTTGTAATGACAAACTAAAGACTTAACACCCCAGACTGCTCTGTAATCATATTGAGAGCAGTGACACTACAGAGCCATACTGTTAAATCATGCAACAATATTTTATTGACTTTGAAAGAAATTGTTACTTATGCTTTTCAACAGACTTAAAAGTCAGCATTTAAAAATGTCTACTGAATTCACACTTTAAAGGCAGGATGCTTGCAAGGAGATGTCTTTGTTGTTCACATAGTGCTGTCAGAGCACAAGATCTATTTTATTATGTGTGTCAGTGATTCCAAACCAGTGGTACTTGTACACGAGGAGTAAAAAATCCAGTTTCTAGGGGATACATGAAAAGACTGGAAGATCTTAGCTGATTTGAAAAACTAGAAATGAATTATTTAAAAACTGGGAAAAAATATATCCACATATTTGGGTTTAGGGGGAAATAAACAAGTATTCACATACTGATGGTTTCCTATTTTATAGTTAATGTTACCACATATGATGTGGATGGACTTACCAGGTACCTTACAGGTACAATTAAGATTTTGAGTTCCATAAAAATCCTGTTTTAGTCTGTTATGAATGTTAATGTGTTAGGGGATTCATTGTTCTTCAAATAGGCTATAATTGTGATTCTCCTAAAAAAAAACCCAAATATACAGCTTTAATTTGAAGGAGTACAGTGATTGTTATTAATATAACATTTACTGGGAACAAGTCTTTATAAGTTTAGGGGAGACTCGTTGGCACCTGTACAACACATTTTCATTCAGATAACTTAAAGTGAGGGTTCAAGAGGCCCCTTTGAAAAATGGCTGTGCCAGTTGTTCTCTTGCCAAAATTTGGCCTAAATTTGGAGCATTTTTAGCCCCCTTTCCAACAAGCTATGCTGACACGTATGGTACCAGTGAATACCACAGATTACCTAGTTTCACTACATACCACTACCTTCATGCTAACTTAAATAATAAGCGTGCCATGGCTTCTTAAAGACAATAAGGCTGGTCTCCAATTATTTTCGGCTGTGGGGGGCACCACCTGTATCAGGGTGGCCATGACTGTCCTTGGCTGCCCCCCACTTGCATTAGCATTAACATCAGCTTCAATGTAAAAATAACAAACAATTGGCTGTTTGTTCATTGAAAGTATAACAGCAGTGGGAATAATCATTTCTCTGTTACTTCTGCAGTTGGGCTGTTTGTTTAATAAAATGCTAAACACAGAAACGCACTGTTGAAGTGTTGTCCTTTTTGTCACTGACTACTTTTCATGGCCGCAGGGTAACTCAGGGTTGGGCTTCAGCATTGCTGGAGGGACAGATAACCCACACATCGGTGACGACCCTGGCATTTTCATCACCAAGATCATCCCCGGAGGAGCTGCAGCAGAGGATGGACGACTGAGGTCAGTCACTTACACTTCCCCACGCAGGTTTTAATAAGAGATAACTTGAAAAGTTTTCAGACCCGATGGCGGAAAAACAAAAAAAAACTATGAAGAAACTTGCATGTCTCAAAAAAAAAATGTCAAAGAGGAAATCCCCTTTAACTGGATACTTAAGAATAATCTCTGTCACCACACACTGGGGACTGGATATATAACTGCTTACTCCACTGCTACACTAAATAATCTACCCTCGGTAATCTTTCATATAAATCATCTTTGAGATATTATACTGCAGTGTCATTTTTCAGTTGCATTTTGAAGTGTATTAAGGACTAAACGTTGTGGCCTGTCTAGCAGTAGCGTTGTTGTAATGTCTCTCAGGGGAACTTTGTGGACACTCTGGTCAGTTTATCTTGCTGATGCCTCATATTTTTATGAGTCTTGAAAACCTATATTTTACCTATATTAACACATGATCATTTTTTGAACAATGTTTGTCGCCATCCCGAATATATATTAACTATAATTAGATATTACAGAAATTAAACTTTTATTTATTTAATCTGAAGAGTAAGAAAATATTTGACATTTATTTGTTATCGTTATACTTGAGTGTCTTTTCTCTCCAGTTGCTCTGCAACATCAGCGCTGACTTCGCACTGATAGTCTGTACACTAAAACGATTGTCTGTATTGCTTAAGGGTGACCTACCATCTGTAACAGCATTATTAAATGAGCAGAGGGGATGTGGATACAATCCATCACATCTTTGCTACAGTAGTTTATCAAGGAGGCAAGGACACAACCTGAGCTCATTCATCAATCTACTGGAGTGAAAGGCTTACTTAAAGGAAAACATTTACTACACTGTACTTGACACCATAGATCATGGCAAGTTTAGTAATAACCATCAACACTCTTGTGCTAAGTACGGAACTGAAGAGTCTCAGCCTGACTGACAACAGTTTGGCCTCTAAGAAAATTTGTTGGACCTTTTCTGGTGTAATCTAGAGGTGCATGTGCCAGTAAGTGTGCACCATTTCATCTGCAAACCTCTGACTGTGCTCACTAGACACTAGGTCTTTTAGTTGTTGTTCAAGAAGCAGCATCAGAACGGTCCCATGTAATTACAGCTGACATGGATTGTAGAAATCTGTTTACCGATGTTTATTAGGTACTTATAGACAAGCCAGTTGGATTTCATAAACAAACATATATGTTGATCTAGCACTATTAGCAGCTAGGAAATGCACAATTTCAGAACCCATTGACTTTCAGTCTGAAGAATTTCTAGCTTCTGAGGGCAACTGCCAATATACAGGGGTTTCCAGTGTAGAGAGCAGACAGCTGTGCCAAGACTTCCTCCTTTGTGCATGTTAATTGTTTACAGTCCAATTAGCAACTTGAAATGTGACAATGGAGTTTTGGCTAATCTCTATATACAGATATTTGAATATGAATGCTGATACATTTTAAAAAAGGCAAATAAAAAGTTAGATTGCTATCAGATGCTAAGTGAAGGGTGCCAAGATTGCATTCAGCCAATGCGTTAAGCCTCTTTTCAGGCCCTCCAGGATTTCACAGGCTGTTTGGGGATTGTTGTGGCCTATAAAGCCTGATTCACAGCAGATCTTTTCCAAAAAATGGGATTTATGCTGATGTAATTAAAGACTTTTTTTTTGCAGTGAAATTATGGGAGCAAGGGAAAATAGCAGAAATCGTTGTAATGCTGTCACGGATTGGGAGCTGATTATCTTTAGCATTCAGTGTTTCCCACCAATTTAGGATCTATTTGTGATGTAGGCAGGGGAGGTGTCAGCTAATCACCAACAATCAGCTGTTCCTTCCGTTTACACAGTGCAGAAAGATTGTCCCCGTGAGAGGCTCTGCTCATGCTCCCCCTGCCCATTTAGCACAAGCTAACACAGCACAACGGGATCTCATTCCCACTTGTCTTATTATGCTGCTTGGTGCAGAAGCCTTGCAGCGGTGGTCAACATCCAACACTGAGCCATTTACCTCACACCAACCAGCTCGACTCTGTTGGTAAACCTGTTCATAACCGTGAGGTAACTTTAGCCGTGTGAGGCTAACAGTCTTTATATATAGATTTCTGTTTAGATTAGGAAATGAATTGCTATGTGTCTATTTTGCCAACAGTGGTCACAGTGATGGACTCACTATGGAATTATTTGACAAATTTTATAACAGTGAAGGGAAACACCAGGGATTTTACAGTTTCACATTTTTATTTTTTGGAAACATTTAGAAATTTTTTTAACAAAGAAACAAAAGAAATCAGAATCCTCATATTCTGTATCAATGCCCCCGCCCCCTTTTCTTTTTTCCAGTAGCAGTGATGGATAATGCTGCTTTTGGTTTCTGGCCAGCCACTGTTCTTTTTCCAAGCTGTAGCTCAGGAGCATTACTGTCAGATCACAGATGCTACCGAGGAGCATAATGCATGCACAGCGTCAATCTCAAGCAGATCGCAGAAAAAGCGGGCCACGCATAAATCACACTTAGCCTAATTGATGGTCACCCACTCCAAGGGGGCGGCAAGACTAATGCATTATGGATGGAGGGGAAGTCTAATCTCTGTGAGGAAGGAGGCCTGATAGGGATTTGGTTTTCTATAACATTATAGAAGCCAGACACACTTCCTGTCAATGCTCTGGGACGCTGTAGCAGAGCACTAAGCATACTTAATGCACCAGCAAGGCTTAAGGGACTGCTTGGAGCATTTTAAGTGTTTCTCGTGGAGTGTGTTGTTTTAGAGAGGTAAAAGCATGAATGCAGTCAGGACTGAAGCCACAATAACACTACCATTTTATTCCTGAAAGATTTCTATTAACCTATATGATACAAATCCTTCATTTATATTTAAAGCTCACACTGTAGAGCCTTTTATTCTTAGTATGCAGGAGGAAATTCTAATTAATCTGTATCCTTATGCTGGAAGACATGATGGGTTAGTACGCAAATCTTTTCGCTCTGCTTTCCACTGGTGGGTGTGTATATATGCGTGTGTGTGTGTGTGTGTGTGTGTGTGTGCTGGGTCCCAGCTGGTTCCTATGAACACCCTCAGGAGAGTTGTGTCCTTGAGTGCCAGGGCATGGATGATTTGGTCGACACCACAGGGGAATTCAAACTGAGCCGCTCGCTGACTCTGATATTTACACACTTGTGTGCTCGCAATCACAGTCTAACCATCGCTATACATAAAAAAAAAAAGAAAAAAGTGTATCATATGCACAACACTGCCTGCAATCTAAAACACGTGTATGAGCACATGGGTCACCACTGCATAGTAAACACAAAGAGCTGCCAACAACCACCCACAGTCACCTCTGCCGTCAATTGCGTGTGCCTGTGTGCATGTGTGTCTACAGGGAGATGTATATTATAGAACTGCTGTGACTATACTGTAAACATGTTAGTTAAAGTACCACTTATTCGATCCAACCTCCTCTGTGTTACATTGTCTCTTAGTTGCTATTTTCTAAGTATAAAATTGTAAAATTGTTCTCATCAGACTTCTTAACCATGTCTCATCTTAAGGGGACCTATTATGCTTTTCCATGTTTTGTGTTATATATATAGTGTTACAATGAAAGATGTTCATATTAAATGTGGCCAGACTTTCAGATAATAAGGAAAACCCCTGTGAGCAACAACCTCAGGTGTCCTACCATACTGAGCTATGTGTTTCCAACTGTTTTTTCCTATTCTGGCTACAGTATGACGCCACTGTGTGCCGGATTTCACTCAACTGCAAGTGTTTACATTATGTAGCCTGCACTGCTCAATGAAGTGTCATGCTAACGTCAGGGAAACATGAAAATTTGGCTTCTCATGTTGTTTATTTCTCCTTGATCTTATATCATATTGCAGCTGGAACATGTCTGGTTGTGTTTTGTTGCTTTTATTAATGATTTTTCATGGTAAAAAGTCATTGTTTTTCTCCGTTACAGTCATTCCCTAGCTGCAATGATGGCGTAGAGACGCCAAGATACTGAAGACTTGGAAATGCTGCCAATCAGAGCAGACTGGGCTTTTTTCAGTGTAGGGGGTTAAAGAGACAGGCACTAAACAGTGCGTTTCAGACAGTAGGGGGAATACAGGTGTTCCAGCACAGACAGTATGAGGAAAATAAAGTGTTTTTTGACCATCAGAGCTTGTAACCTCAAAGCAAAAACCTTAAATACAAGTATACAAGCATAATAGGTCCTATTTAACTGTGATAGTGTTCTTAATAAAAAGCTAATATCATGTGAATTAGGGCTGCCACTAACAATTATTTTCATTGTCGACTAATCTGTCGATTATTTCTTCAATTAGTTGACTAATCATTTCATTGAAAAATGTGTTAAAATGTTGAAAAATGTTGGTCTGTCTCGCCCAAACCCCAAAATCACGTCATCTAATGTCTTGTTACATACTCACGCCAAAGGGTTTTAGTTCACTGTCACGGGAGAGTGTGTAAAGCTGCCAATATCTGAACGTAAGAAGCTGCAGTAAGAGTATTTTGGGGTACTTTTATAGTACTTTTCTATGAAAAATGACTCAAACCGATTAGTCGACTACTAAAATAGTCACCGTCACCGATTGTTTTAATAGTCGATTAGTCATCGATTAGTCGACTAATCGCGGCAGCCCTAATGTGAATCCATAAAAGCTGAAGGTTCATGACTTTAGAAGTTTTCTTGATTCTGTAAAAAGACCTCCAGGTTAAATGATTTTCTAAAGGTGGCTGCCTATGCACTGTTTTTGAAGAATTAATAGTGTGAATTCAGTCTTGCTTTTAATTTTTACCAATGATAATCATCACCTATCAACGCTGTTTCATTTCCAGAGTTAACGACTGTATTCTACGGGTGAATGACGCAGACGTGTCTGAAGTGTCTCACAGTAAGGCGGTAGAAGCCCTGAAGGTTGCAGGTTCTATTGTTAGGCTGTATGTGCGGCGCCGCAGGCCAATGCTTGAGACCATCATTGAGATTAAACTCATCAAAGGACCAAAAGGTGGGCACATACACACACACACACACACACACAAACACACAAACACACACACACACACGCACACACATTGATGTCATGTAAATTCTGCCAATAAGAGCGGTCATCAGATTGATTCAATTTTACCACTCAATGTTAGTGCAACATGTTTTGTGTATGGCATTAAAAAATAAAATGTATTTGGGTTAAATTTATTTTCTTTGATTATGTGTCCCAGTTTAGCTGAACAGATTCCAAACAGGGTTTTCCTGTGCTCAGTAAAAGAAAATGGTGGTACATGATGCTGCAGCGGGAGACAGTATTGCTTTGTTTTTGGGGTGGTTGTGGTTTACCCAAAGTACAGCAAACTGTTTACTGTAAAACTGCTCCTCTAACCATGATAATCATATAATGGTGATATTGTCTTATGCCTAACATAAATCCGTCATGCACGCAACCCAGAAACTAACCCACTGCTTTCATATATGCAAACACACACACACAGGGCTTGGCTTCAGTATTGCAGGTGGAGTTGGAAACCAGCACATCCCTGGTGACAACAGCATATACGTCACCAAGATCATTGATGGCGGGGCAGCACTGAAGGATGGTCGACTACAAGTAGGAGACAGGCTATTAATGGTGAGTCCACAATTCTGTTTTTTAAGAGCTTGCAGGAGGATATACCATAAAATTGATGTTTTTATTACAAGTTTATTTTCACAGATTATTGCAGATGAAAACAAAGCACACACACACATATGTCAGTGTTGGGTCAGACCATAAACTGCATATAAAGATGGACGACATGACACATCTCACATCCCATGGTGGCTGGCTTCAGTATAGATGTTCATGGTCTCCATGTTAGTGGATGGGACATGATGAACTAAAAACTCAAAGTACACCTCAAATAAATTTTCCAAAAGGTTGTTTTTGTCATATAATGTAGTTTTTATCACACTGCTGTATCTTCAAGTGTTCGTTTTTCTGATAAGTATGGTTTTAATTAGTTATTTAATGCTATAAAACAGAGATTACAACATGAATGACAACTGTGTTAGCCAAGTGGCGCTGCTCAAGATTGGTTGCACGGATGTTTGAGCAGGAAACTTGATACCGTGGAGATCGCTACTTTGCAGACTTTGGCTCTGAATAACGTCACCAGAGCAAGATGGTAGCAGCCATATCTAGGATATTTTAGCTTCACCTCTGCACAGTGGGGTTATATATACATCTTTATATTTAGTCTATGGGTCAGACTTTGAAATGTAGTCAGTTACTAATTAGTAACATAATCCCTTGGATAACAAAAAGAAAATGTATCTAATCTGAATTGTGGATTGCTTCCAAATCGAACATATAAAATATTGCATCTTATACAAAAAATGGATGCAGCCACAAAAAATCAGTTTCAGGAATATCCTTTTTTTCTGTAAACATTTAAATTCAAATTCAAGTAAAATGCATTTTGCATATTCAGCACTTACAGTTGGTCAAATCAAATTCTAACAATATAATTTAATATAATATCGGCTGGTCATCAGTATCTGCTGATATTGGCTTTAAAATGAACTATTGTAACACACTGATAACATCAGTTCATCATCGGTTTCGGCCAATATCTGCTTCAAAATGAATTAAAACAAAATCGGCCAGCATGCTTTTTCTTATTTTGCACAATAAATGAATATGACATACGTTGAAAAGCATTCTATTTCATGTCTCCATCTACTGGTGGGCCATCACAATAAGAGTATGCATGCATAATATGATGTTAATTGTGCTACAGAAGAGACTTTTGATGATCACTAAAATTAGGTGGAGAGAAGTGGATATATTGATATCAGTATCAGTTATCAGCCAAATGAGTTGTTACAGATCAGCATATTCGATATCACCAAAAAATCCAATATTGTGCATCCCTATCAAATTACCCTTAAATTACATTTTAAAATTTGAAGTGATGGCAATATTGCCAAAAATGGAAGGCTGTTTGAGAAGGACTTCTGCTGCTCAGATCTAACATCTTGACTCAGCATTGTTACTTTTTCTCCAGTCATGTCCGTCACAGAGGGGAACACTTGTCTGAGAAACCTGCACAAGTTAGATGCACTTTTCAGTAGCACTGGTTGGACATGTAATCAACTAATATAAGTATAATGTAATTACACATTCTTGCAAATGTAATCTGGGTTGATTACAGTTACCTATTTTTTGTAATCTAATAAAAATCCCAATTATGTGGTTTCATGAATCAGGTTGCAGCCAACAACAACCTTCCTGGGGCTTTGGTCTAAATGATAATTAAGTGATGAAATAAGTCCCTGGCACACATTTTGAAAGCAACAAAGTGGCAACCTACTGGCTCCGAGTAGAACAGAAAGCTTTCTCTTGAGGAGGGCATCCCTCTTGCTTAACTAGCGCTTAATTTAATTACCATTCTACTGTCGTGTTCTCACCCGAACACCATCTGTCATAATCCAGTCTCCTGCAGGCAGGGAGCACGCCGGACTGATCTGAACTGAGCGGCAGTAAGCAAACACAAGGCAGCCTCTAAAACTCCTGATTAAACAAATAAGGACTGTGTCTGTGTCCGGACAGGTAAACAACTACAGTCTGGAGGAAGTGTCTCACGAAGAGGCTGTGGCCATTTTGAAGAACACGTCGGACGTGGTCTACCTAAAGGTGGGAAAGCCCACCAATGTCTACCTATCAGATCCCTATGGGCCTCCTGATATCACACACTGTAAGTCCTCGCCTCTTGTATTTGAGCTGAGTAGTCACCAGCTGACTTGTCATCTGCTGGTGGAATAGTTTAACCAGATTGCAGAGAGCATTTCTAATTGTAAAGGCTGTTGAAATGTTTCATGTGTAATGTTAGAATATGTGTGCAATGAGAGCATGATTGTGAATCACTTATACTTAACAAAAACAAAAAAAGGCATTTAAGCTGCATTCAGTGATTTTTGGCACACACAACCCTGACATTTATCATCAAAACAACCAAGCTAAAAGAGGCCAAAGAGCTCCACTGAACTGCAGAATCGGGTAACAACTCACTGCACTTAACCTCATTAATTTGCCTCTGGACTTATTGTACATATCCCTGTAAAATTTCAATGTTATTCAGTCAGTAACTTGACCTCAGATTTGTGGAAAAGCAGTTTATAGCACTATCTTTAATGTACAGTTAGATACATTTATGAAAATCATTTGAAGCTGTACAATGGGGCCTTTGCTTGCACTCTGTATTTTGTGGGAGGTTCTTTGTTTTTCAGAGAATACAGTATTTTAATATTAGATGAAACTTCTGCTTTTATAAAAAACAATTCAGTATTGCAGTCAGATTTTAACACAAAATGACTGTATCTTGTGTGCAGGAATACCTTCTTGGCATGGTGGAAATGTGTCAGCTTGTTTGTCAGTTTAAGCAGCTGCCTCTTTTTTAACACGCTCTCTCTCTCTCTCTTCCTCCACAGCTTTTTCTCCAGCCATGGAAAATCATATCTCTTCCCCCATCAACAGTGGCACTCTGGAGTACAAGTCTGGTCTCCCTCCCATCTCCCCCGGGAGTTATTCCCCCCTTCCTAAGCACTTACTGGGGGAAGAGGATATAAACAGGTTGGATGGTTTTTCCTTCTTACGGTAATTACCTCCTTTCCTACCAGACAACTAGAACTACAGGTAGAAGATTTGTCCACCCCGCTCCTCCTGTCTCCCCCTTGTCCTGAGTGATGTGTGTTTGCGTGGCAATTTAAAAATGAATCAAAACTCCATATGGAGTTATGATGAAATTTAAAAGTGTCTCGTATTTCTCTGTGTTTTTGTCACTTTTTTTTAAAATCTCTAATCCCAAAGTGTGTGTCCAGTGTTGCCCACAGTGTTTTTCAAAAATATCCTCAAAAAAAACAACAAAAAAAAACTGTTTTTGATATGATAGGTGGGTCCCTTGATCACAAATCTGGATCTGCAACATTACATCATCACATTCACCAAACAATATTTATAAAATAAAGGGTCTCCAGAAACAAATTTTTGAAAACCACTGTTCTGCTGTAATCCTGTGCTTCTGTTGTACTGTGTTGTGTTTGCGTCTGAATGCCTCTTTTTATTATTTCTTCCTGGACTATGTGTTGTTTAGTGCCATTGTGACGCACACCTGGAAACCTTTGGGGCATCAGGGAATTGCTTTATAATGAAACACAATGAGCCATGGTACTTTAATCATGTTTTGGTGTTGGTGGTGTGAGCTGTGCTTTTAAAATATTTTGGAAATTTTGGTTATCAGCAAAAATGATGTTGTTGTGTTAAAGGTTGTCTCAGGTCCAACAGCAGTGACATCACAGTTGAATACATTTGCGCAATCAGTGGCAGAGACAGGTGTTGTCTTGCTGTTTCATCGCTGCTTTGTTGTGTATTTTCCAGGCATCAGTTGAGATTTTTGGTTTGCCAAAAAATGAAAAACAACCAGATATATAATTTATCTGACTCATGGTTCATACCTGTTGTTAGAGGATTTGTCATCTCAGGAGCTGAGATGACAAACCCTTTGTTATGTCTGTAAAGATAAGCTACACTGCGGTATCACTGCTACAATCACCATTTTAATGACGCAGTGCAGTAAAGTGACAGAAACAGACCCAGAAGTTTATATACAGTACAGGCCAAAAGTTTGGACACACCTTCTCATTCAATGCGTTTTCTTTATTTTCATGACTATTTACATTGTAGATTCTCACTGAAGGCATCAAAACTATGAATGAACACATGTGGAGTTATGTACTTAACAAAAAAAAGTGAAATAACTGAAAACATGTTTTATATTCTAGTTTCTTCAAAATAGCCACCCTTTGCTCTGATTACTGCTTTGCACACTCTTAGCATTCTCTCGATGAGCTTCAAGAGGTAGTCACCTGAAATGGTTTCCACTTCACAGGTGTGCCTTATCAGGGTTAATTAGTGGAATTTCTTGCTTTATCAATGGGGTTGGGACCATCAGCTGTGTTGTGCAGAAGTCAGGTTAATACACAGCCGACAGCCCTATTGGACAACTGTTAAAATTCATATTATGGCAAGAACCAATCAGCTAACTAAAGAAAAACGAGTGGCCATCATTACTTTAAGAAATGAAGGTCAGTCAGTCCGGAAAATTGCAAAAACTTTAAATGTGTCCCCAAGTGGAGTCGCAAAAACCATCAAGTGCTACAACGAAACTGGCACACATGAGGACCGACCCAGGAAAGGAAGACCAAGAGTCACCTCTGCTTCTGAGGATAAGTTCATCCGAGTCACCAGCCTCAGAAATGGCAAGTTAACAGCAGCTCAGATCAGAGACCAGATGAATGCCACACAGAGTTCTAGCAGCAGACCCATCTCTAGAACAACTGTTAAGAGGAGACTGCGCGAATCAGGCCTTCATGGTCAAATAGCTGCTGGGAAACCACTGCTAAGGAGAGGCAACAAGCAGAAGAGATTTGTTTGGGCCAAGAAACACAAGGAATGGACATTAGACCAGTGGAAATCTGTGCTTTGGTCTGATGAGTCCAAATTTGAGATCTTTGGTTCCAACCGCCGTGTCTTTGTGAGACGCAGAAAAGGTGAACGGATGGATTCCACATGCCTGGTTCCCACTGTGAAGCATGGAGGAGGAGGTGTGATGGTGTGGGGGTGTTTTGCTGGTGACACTGTTGGGGATTTATTCAAAATTGAAGGCACACTGAACCAGCATGGCTACCACAGCATCCTGCAGCGACATGCCATCCCATCCGGTTTGCGTTTAGTTGGACGATCATTTATTTTTCAACAGGACAATGACCCCAAACACACCTCCAGGCTGTGTAAGGGCTATTTGACCAAGAAGGAGAGTGATGGAGTGCTGCAGCAGATGACCTGGCCTCCACAGTCACCGGACCTGAACCCAATCGAGATGGTTTGGGGTGAGCTGGACCGCAGAGTGAAGGCAAAGGGGCCAACAAGTGCTAAATACCTCTGGGAACTCCTTCAAGACTGTTGGAAAACCATTTCAGGTGACTACCTCTTGAAGCTCATGGAGAGAATGCCAAGAGTGTGCAAAGCAGTAATCAGAGCAACTAGAGAAACTAGAATATAAAACATGTTTTCAGTTATTTCACCTTTTTTTGTTAAGTACATAACTCCACATGTGTTCATTCATAGTTTTGATGCCTTCAGTGAGAATCTACAATGTAAATAGTCATGAAAATAAAGAAAACGCATTGAATGAGAAGGTGTGTCCAAACTTTTGGCCTGTACTGTATGTGTGTGGGCAGAAAAAACTATGAACCAACAGCATAAATCAGCTGTGAGGGATTAAAAACGATGCCAGAAAATTTTACAACATGTAGGAGAGCTGTTAAAGTATCAAAGGTGCTACAAATACTTAGCACTAAATAAAATTTTAAAGCTTTTTAGTAACATTTTTCTAAGCTTTTTGGTTCTTAATGAACAGTGGAAATTGACTTACATTAACTTACATGAACTCTGAAAGTTCCAGTTTGTTATTTGGCAGTCAAAAAATGTCTGCTGTGTTTGCTCTCTCAGTTTGTTCCCCTTTCCTCGTGTATTTACTACCTGTTGGGTTTTTATCAGTCACTCCTCTCCCAGAGCTGCTCCCAGTACAAACAGAAAAAAGCTTAAGACGTCTCACTCGAGTGAGTCACAGCCAAACATTAGCAGCTCCCCACCTCAGCTGCCCCGACACCTAATCCCATAGCAAGCTGCCACAAGGCTCCCAACCACATGGGCCTAATTTCCTATCAAGTCAAATCTGAGAGTAAAGCGTCTGTGTTTCTGCTCACCTGCTGCTGATCAAACATAAGGTCTGGTCTCAGTGGCAGCCTCAGCTGCTCTGTTGATGAGTTATATGTCATTGTGGTTGAGAAATGGCATACCAAAGAAGATTTTTAGGCAGCACATCAAGGACAATGGGTATATATCACCATGAACAAATGAATATAAACACTCTATAATGCTTCTCTGTTAGATGAGGTCAGTGTTGCATGCAAGAATTATGTTGTGTTGTCATATTTCATCTCCAAAATAAAGAGCAGTGGAGGAATATTGCAGCAGAGTGATAACAAAAGCTCATTTCAGAGGATAACTGAAGGACCCCTGTGTTAAGCTTTGTTGAGTGAAGGATTAGTCCTCCATTCTCTTTGGAGTTAAGAGGTTTACTATTCGCTCTTGGTCAAGGTGCATCCCTAATAGCCTTTGAGATTACCTTGCCGACCTAAAGTGAAGCACTCTTCAGTGTCTTCTAGGGGAATATATAGGCAGAAATTGAATATAATATAATGAGTACTGTACGTTTTTTTTTTATCATGTACTCACTTGAAAATATGAATTGTTATATTTATGTTAGAATGAGCCATTTATATCTACATAGGGAGTGGGTCCTTGTCTAGGCAGATGGTCATGTTGCATTGCCATGCTTCTACAGTAGCCCAGAACAGACAAACTAAACACTGGCTGTAGATAGGGCCATTAGCGTTTTCACGTCAGCCACCATAGTTAGAATCCCTCCTGTGACGAGTAGCATCAGAAAAACACTGCTTTTTTAAAGTTGAAAAAGCTTATTCAGTGTTCTCACTGGTTTTACGTATTCATCTGGTCCTTTTGTTTAGGTGAGGAAGAGACCGCCGCAGATCATTCAGCTCCCGCTAAAAACCTCCTGAACAATAAACGCTGGAGGAATTCTAACCGGGAGAAGCTTCAGCTGGTTGCAATCTGCAATTGTCACCACTAGAAAACATTAAATCCCCCTAAATCTTTCACACTGTTCCTTTACAACAAACAAGTTGATCTTTTTTTTTTTTACAGCTGATTATGCACCTGAGCTTTACTAATTTTATCACTTATGTGAAAAGCCAAAAAGTGCTCTCAATAAGCTGAAATCTAAATTCTGAGGGAAACCCTTCTGCTTGATTAACCAACAGCAGAGAGCTCTGGCAACTAAGACCCCACAGACTTACCTTTTAAATCCTGTTCTCATAGCAATTTGGAGCCATGCAGCTCATGGACTAAAAGTCCTCATGAAAAGACCGAGATGGGACAAACACGCTAATGGCCCTATCTACAGCCTGTGTTTAGTTTGTCTGTTCTGGGCTTCTGTAGAAACATGGTTGTGCAACATGGCGACCTCAGTAGACGAGGACCTGCTCCCTATGTAGATATAAACAGTTCATTCTAAGGTAACTAAAACACAATAATTCTTATTTTGTTGGAAATATACACTAAAGAAAACATACTCATTATGTTGTATTCCATTTATGCCACTATATCCACCTAAATCCTACACACTAGACCTTAAAGTTATCCCCTGCCTCACAAGCCATTTACAAATCAAAAGTTTTGGCAGTGCCTTAGCAATAACCTTCTCCCATTATTGTTTTAAGATAGAAGTCTGATACAGAGTCTTTCGTACTGAAGCTGCTGATTGAGAATATTTTTCACAGAGTTCAGTATCTTTGAATATGATCACCATAAGTATTCAATGTGTTTTCAGAGATCTGTATCCTAGTCAGGGTGGAAAAGCCTCTGAAGCAGCATTTAACATGAACTAGGCTGCTATCTGTTTAACTTTTTCTTGAACCCAGGCACCTGTTAGCCTTCACAAGAGCATCAGCAGT